GAAAGACAAAATCGAGGACAAAATCGTTCGCAAAATTTTCGTCGACGGCGGGCGAAAACGTTAACACTGTAAGGGCTATCTTTAAAACAGGGAATGGGGAATCCGGGAATCGGGGAATCCGGGAATCGGGGAATCCGGGAATAGGGGAATCCGGGAATCCAGAACTGATAAAACGGGGATATTAGTGTGCTTGTTGGAAAACGCATTTGCTACTTTGTTTAGAATAATACAGACGATGAACATACAGTATACACTGCGGATCAGTTGACTTACTATATAGCTTATGTTATATTATATATGTATAACAGCGCTGTGCACATATGTGATTTTAATAACATATAATTTTATTAATTTCAATTAAAGATTAGCGTCTATAGAATTTTGTTCCAACGCGCAAGTTTTTTGGATTAATAGACTGCAAAATGCATGCATCATACAGGAAACGGGATAACACTAAAAGCCCACGCTTTAGATGTTAAATACTAGGGTACCTGCAAGGTAAGGATTGCTGCTGGCATTAAAAGCAAATAGAACTACAGTAAACAGCACAGATTATATCAAGCACAGTGATTACTCGCAGCGACTAGTGAGCTGTGAATGGAACTGAGAAGAAGCAATATATATTGAAGTAGCAAAGACCAGGGGTTAAAGGGCAATCAGAGGTGACAGATATTAAACATGTGCGTCTCATTGACATACAGGTAAATTAAGATCAGATTTCATATCAAGTCTGTTTACTGCTAGGCGCATTTACCACATTATATAGACTATATACACAGATTTATCACACTAAGAAACCAAAACTTTATAAAAATATAGAACTGACAGTCGCCAAAGTCCAATACAAATGTAAGCGTAACATTAGACATGAAAAAGCTTTAGAAATTCGGTAAAAATCAAAGACTCGAACGAGTTTAAACGCGCTAAATAAAATGCGCTAAATAAAATTTAGTTCAAAACCCCCTCTCTGCATATATTAGGTTGCTGCTACGCTCGCTCGCTTCAGGCTCGCTCGCTCCGCAGCAATTAAAGCGAACGGGGCGCAATTCGACGGCGAAGAGGTACGATTTTCATTCACGAATACTTTAAGACATTACTGTGGAGTTTAAAAACTCCAACATCTGCTTAAACCAAATCTGCGCGATTTTTAGTTGTTAAAAAATAATAAAAAATATGTTAATTTTAAAGTACTGTAAGTAATTTGGGATTGCAAAGTATCCGTGAATGAAAACTAAAAACATACCGCGTCGCCGCCGCCGAATTGCGTCCCTTTGGCTAAAATTAATATTTAACATATAAAGCGTGTCTTTAGTTTAAATCCCGTTTCCTGTAAGATGCATGCATTTACAGTCTATTAATTAAAAAAACTTGCGCGTTGGAACAATATTCTATAGACGCTAATGTCTAATTGAAATTAATAAAATTATATAGAGAATAATACATGGTTGCGCGGAAATACCAGATTTATTTCGAGTGTTGAACATGATATCTCACGAGTAAGCGCAGCGAACGAGTGAGATATCACGTTCAACACGAGAAATAAATCTGGTATTTCCAAGCACCCATGTATTTTTCTGTTTATTATATGAAGGACAATTTTTGAAAAGCGATAATTTTTACAGAAAAGCGAAAATTGAAAAGCGATAATTTTCTCATGTGAGAGTACATAAAGATTTTGAGATTATCACTTTAATCAGTGCTCGAAATCTCTATAAAGCACTGATACTTTATATAATAAATGTTATTAAAATCACATATGTGCACAGCGCTGTTATAATCTATAATATACCATAAGCATAAGTTATTTATGACAACTGATTCGCATTGTATTCAGTAGCGAATGCGTTTTCCAACAAGTACACTAATATCCCCGTCTTATCAGTTCTGGATTCCCCGATTCCCGGATTCCCCGATTCCCGGATTCCCCATTCCCTGTTTTAAAGATAGCCGACACGAAACTGATTCAGTCACTGATGGCTGCCATAAAACTTTATTGCCTGCTGAGTCGCAAGTTGTCAGTTCATTTAAGTCATTATTGCTGTACTAAGAAAGAAGAGAGCACTTTTTTAAATTAACAACGGGAAACTGAAAAAAAACGAATTTCTTTAGGGGGATGTTAAGCAGAGAAAACAGTTTAACAGCGGACTCAGTTTGAATTTATCACTAACTGAAGAGTTTATACGATAAGGAATATTTTTTCAAGATTTTAAGCCGAATGACTGTCCTGATAGACTGCAGAGTGGTCTTGAGGTTTTTGCGGTCTTCATTGACTAAAATTGAAATAAATTCTGCGCTCTTCTTCCCATAGGCGTACAGAAAAGAAAAAATTAGGGGGGGGGGGGAGGGGCGAGGAAAATTTACCCGACCTTGGTGCATATTGCCCGACCATGCAATCAAAATTTTTTCCCTTCCTCAACTTCCAAACTTTATATCTAGGTTGGGGGGCGGGGGGGGGCTGCTAAAAAGTTTCGAAGGGTTAAAATATTTGGCCACATGACACATAATTATTGCTTTATCGTCTATTATCCTACATATATCTTGCTTTCAATTTCTTTCCCCCGTGTCATGACGCGCTGGTTTGATCAACATTTGATACGATCGGATCCGGATACAAATTTTTTGGATCGGATTCGGATTTTGTGCATTAACTTATTTGTCGGATTTTAACCATCAAATCTGGTCTGATCTACACCTGTGGCATGCAACAAGTTGAAAACGTGCTGAACTTGATCTTGAACAATTCTGTCTGACCGGTCACATCCAGTTTGACGGTGCCTCGAAGTGCCACGTCGAGGGTGGCGCATAAACCATTAACTATAGTAATTAAAATCGCATTGACAGTTATATCAAATTTCATTCAACAACAACACTTTATATATTGGACTATATACGTAGTGGGTTGCACAGTGTTATGACTGATTTCTAGCTTGCATGACCTTGTGAACTCGTACGCTCAACATGGAAAACACTGAAACGAAACAACCTGCTCAAATAAAATGCCATTCGTTCGAAACAAAACTTGGACCCGTTAGAATATCCTTAAACCCGGTCGTCACGATTCTATCGGGGCTTATTATTTGGAATTTCGTAATTGTCTGTATGATTATACCGCGCGATACACTGGACGCGATGACCTGGGTGAAGAGTTGGATTTCCACGACATCGACATGGTTTTACATCGGAACTAAAAACTTCTGGGTCTTGTTTGTACTTTATATTTTCTTTTCCAAGTATGGGAAAATTAAGTTGGGGAAAGACGACGAGGAGCCAGAGTTCAGTGATATGACGTACTTTACAATGCTGTTTGCTGCAGGCGTTGGAATTGGGTTGTTTTACTTCGGGGTTGCAGAGCCTGTAATTCATTACGACACGCACATGCCGTATGCTAATCGCTACTGGGGAAGGTAACTAAAATAATTCATGAAACAGCCATCCAGTAGCTTACTTAAGGTAAGCTTACTTAAGGTAAGCTACTGGGTTGCTGTTTCATGCATTATTTTGTCTCTTTAGGCCGTTTACACTACGCTCAATTTTTGGTACGGCATGGAAAATCTGGTACCTGTACCAAATTTATCCGTGGTCGGCTTTTGTAAATACTGTACCAAAATTGAGCGTAGTGTAAACAGGCCTTTAAACTACACTCACACGCGACCAGATGAATTCATATGCAAATTCGACCGCTTCTATTTGTTCACACATAAATTCTTATGATTAATTGTTCTCAAGCTCGCTCGGTTTCATGCGTCCGTATGAATGCGACTGGCGAAATGGTGCAAATTTCAGTCGAGCTTCGGTTCATCTGCTCCTCTATCTAAACAGAGCTTCAATCGATGTATTATATATATGTGCCCAAAATTAACAAATTCGTGATTCTTCCTTGAATTAAACGAAAGTGGTCAGTTTGTTGATTAAAACTTACTGTTTTATTGTTTAATCGTTTCCCACCTTGGTTTAGAGTTGCCACGAATTAATTATTTTAATTAGCTGCGCGGTTGAGCTCGAATTTCTCACGTCAAATTGGGAATTTTAATTTAGCGGTAGGGAGTTAGTCGAGGTCGTGTGGTCCAACATGTTGTGCCGACTGTTTAATTGATTCACGAAATTAAGAAGTGGCACATACTAACCGCAAGCAGAAATGGTAATGAGGGTCTACATTCAGGTGCAACTAAGTTGGTCCATTATGTACGCATCTTCTTTAATATATAAATGCCTTACTATACAGTCTATACGGGCGGTCATGCTACGTAATTAAAGTAAAATAGAACGCCCGGCTAATTTCATTGTCGCGTATGAATTCGTTTTATGCAGAATAGAGGATTTAAGATCTAACGAAGCAGCAGGCTCGCCACGACGCGGCCTAAATTTCAGCTAACATATGCTTCAATCTTTTTAAATTAAAATAACCTTGGAGAAAAAACAATGTTCGGCAAAAGTAACTTTATGTAACAACAAGCTTTGATGTTGTGTATTAATCCACCTTAATACATGACATGCACTGCCATGCACATAACTTCATAAGAAAATTTGCATATTTTCGGACAACTTTTTTGTGGCGTGCTATTAAAAATATATACATGTGCGCGAACTAAAAAACGAAATAAACGTACAGGAATGGACAAGTCTGATCATTTTTGTATGGGAAGTAATGTAAGATGTTGTCAGTCCAATAAAAATAATGCCTGATCGTATCGGCAGGGAATTAAAATATATAAGCATGTATAAGAGTGTTTTGCGCGTGCTATAAATCGACAAATATTTAAATGCATGATGATGTGCTTTTAAGGCTTTAGCACATCACAATCATCAAACGAGGTTGAAGACTTGAAGGAGGATAACGGAACATCAATATCGATCTGTAAATGTCAAAAGTTCAACTGGAAAGGTCAGAAATTTGCATTTTGGTATAGTCGCCAAGTTGCCCAGTGACAGTGTCTGGCAGTAACCTGACTGAGTTATATCAAAGGTGTCTTGTCCAGATTTTTAGCTTGGCTATGCCTATGTGTGTTCGTGCTATCTTCTGTATGAATGAATCTTTGCCTGAATGACGAATGGCTTCAGTGAGTTGCTGTAGTAAGTACAAGATCGTGCGGGCGGATTCATGATACCAGTGCTGCTCTTTGTCTGTTTATTTACTGATAAAATGAAATGCGCGTTCATCCAGATCATTTCCTTCTTTTCCTTCCATTTTTTACGTGTAAAAGTTTTTTATAGCAGACTACCGAAAGACGCAAATTTGCTTAAATATTGTATTTAATATATTTCTAGACTTAAGTTTAAAATCAATTTGCAAATTCATATGGTTTCGTAATTATGTTCCATAATGATATCCTATATTTTGGCAAGCCATTCTGGATAGTTCTCTAATAAAGGTATAATCATGATTAAAAACATTAAAGCGCAATTAACTCACTATTCATGATAACATATACATATTATGCTGATAATTGGTTTCCGCATGAAACCCTATATGGTACGTTCCAATTATTCAAATGTCTTCGCAGGAGAAATGAACCGACGTCATAGTAATTAGTTAAAATCCGCATATAACCACTAAGCGCATTCCTATGAAAAAGTGACACGCAATCTGTGCCAAGTACCGTAAACAAATCTCAGACATTTATAAAATACACAAAATACTGATTTGTAGAATCCTGTATACAATATATGTTTTCAGTTGTATTATTAAAACCATCATGAAATCCAACAAAATTCTAATTCGTAATTTCGTATAGTCGTATTTTTGCTAACCATTATGGTGGTCTCTAAGATTGCGCCTCAGCATTGTTTTGACGAAAGTAGATCGTCTGCTCGTTAAAGGCTGATAGACGACAAATATGCAGAAATCATAACATTTGATTAAGATAATGCAAAAGTCTGACAAACTGCGATGTGAAGTATAATATATACAGCCAGGTATGCAACTACCTGAAAAATATCAGAACTTTGACTTTTCAGGCGAAAGCCCTTCGTCGCGAAGTTGGAATTTGGAATCCCCAGCAGATTCTGCAGAAATTATTCCGTTAGTAAATAGCTGACGGTACGCATTGTCACATTATTATTTGACGCATGCACTGGCTGCGCTGTTTTCCCACCAATACTTACTGTAAATTCCAAATTCAATTGTTTTACGCCCAAATTAGTTGAAATTTGAACTAGGCTTACTTTAAAAATGAAAATTAAAGCCCAGCAAATGACTTTCAGACAAGACATAACAAAATATAAAATTTATTGGCTAACGTTTCGTTGTATTAATTGCTCTGAAGATGTTGTGAACAATACAACGAAACGTTAGCCAATAATTTTTATATTTTGTTATGTCTTGTCTGAACAACATGAGCTCCACCTAGTGAATTTACTATATGAGTAAATTCTTAAACACATCTGAATTTATCATTATGATAAATTCGCGGCACATTTTGAATTTATCAATAGAGTTAATCATAAAACCACAAGCATTACACAAGATTTCTTGTTATAAATGTAATGGCACTAAAAGGGAGGCCGGTTGCAAGGGGTGGGGAGTTTTTAAAATAGTTTTTAAAAAAGTTTTAAGAAGTTTTAAAAGGGTTTTGAAAAGCAAGAAAAGTTTAAAAAGTTAGATTTTTAAAAAAGTTAAAAAAATTTAAAAAGTTAAAAAAATTAGGGTTAGGGGTTAGTGGTTAGTGGTTAGGGGTTAGGGGTTAGGGGTTAAGGGTTAGGGTTAGTGTTAGGTGCCGCGAATTTATTATTATGATAAATTCAAAATTTGCCGCGAATTTATCATAATGATAAATTCGGACGTGTTTAAGAATTTACTCATATAGTAAATTCAAAGGTGGAGCTCATGCTGTGTCTGAAAGTCATTTGCTGGGCTTTAATTTTCATTTTTAAATTACGCTTTCCACCCGGTGTGTCAATCGCTACTGTTTTAAAACGACGATATAAAGAAAATGGATCGCTGAATGCCTTCAGGAAATATCAACGTTTAGAGTTTTTAAACTACAGAAGGCGAAGCTTGATCTGACCTTTCTCGAGGACTGTAAAAAGAACTCGGTGATCCCAAAGTTTTTGAATTTTAAACTTGCCAACCGTTATCTACAAAATTCAAATGCATATTTACAATGCCAACGCAAGTTATTGAATCAAGAAATATCGATCAAACATTCCAGAATAACTGTCCTATCCCTTGAAGTTACTGAAGCACTCTCGAAGCTAACCGCACTAGTTTCTACTATCGATGCAATACATCTTAGATCTGTTTGTGATCGTGAAAACTCCGCCAAACTACGTCATCATGAGAGAATCCAACAAAAGAAACTTTTTCGTTTGTGTGGTGATGCGTCTAAATCTTCAACACCAGATCCTGACAATGTAAAAGCTGAAAAGATCCTCCTAGCAAGAGGCCTCAACTTTTCTCTACCACCGCGTCGACCGCGTTTTTTTGTGATTTTCTCGCACCTTTTGAGAAATTATATCAATGGAATCCTAAAGAAAGAACCTATTGCGAAAAACCCGATCAATGGATTTAACGAAGAGTTGATTAAAACTCGGATAATGGATATTGCTTTGATGGGCTACAAAACATACATTCCGCCGAAATCAATCTTTTCCGATGACGAGTTCAAGATAATTGAAGGACTCCAGAAGGACAACAACATTTATCTCATCAAGCCAGATAAAGGAAATGGAGTTGTCATTATCAACCGCACGGATTATAACTCAAGAAATCTTAAGAAATCAAATATTTATAAAGAAACCACTCGCCGTGAAGACGCTGTCCGAACTCTCGTAAACGAACTTAAATCTAACAAAATAATTTCTGAACATTTAAGTAAAGAACTTAATCCTATTGGCTCGCGACCAGGTATTATGTATGGTTTACCTAAAGTCCATAAGCCTAATTTCCCACTTAGACCTATAATCTCTGCTATAGGTACTCATCCTATAAACTTGCTAAATTTCTTGTTCCTCTTCTCCGTCTCTTCTCTACTGACACTTTTACAATTAATGACACCTTTACATTTGTTAAGGAATTACGTACGTGAGTTAAAAATTAATACTAATGATGTCATAATGGCCAGTTTTGACGTTAAGTCTCTCTTTACTAACATACCATTAGATGAAACTATTGATATAATCATTAATAAATGCTTTGCTAGTGCCACACACTATCATGCCATCTCTCGCGATCAATTTAGAGAACTCTTAAATCTTTCTGTGAAAAATTGCCATTTTTTATTTGATGGTGTTCTATACAAGCAGGTTGATGGTGTAGCAATGGGTTCACTCTTAGGCCCATTGTTTGCTAACATATTCCTATCTTTTCATGAAAAATCCTGGTTAGCTGACTGCCCTTCTGTTTTTAAGCCTATATTCTACCGTCGGTATGTTGATGATTGTTTTCTTATTTTCACATCACGCGACCATGTTACTCCTTTCCTTTCCTATCTCAACTCGAAACACCCCAACATTCAATTTACTTCAATTTATTCAATTTACTCGTTCCAACGGTTCTTTCGCTACCACAATTCATCATAAATCTACTTCCACGGGATTGTTTACCAATTTTGACAGTTTTATTCCAATGCTGTACAAAAAAGGTTTACTTTTCTCACTTATCTCTCGTTATTTCAACATTTGCTCTTCTTATGTATTTTTCCATTCGGAAATGGAAAAATTCAAGAAAACCTTCTTTCTTAATGGTTATCCTGCAACACTTGTGGATAGTTGTATCAAATCATTTCTTGATAAAATGTATAATTCTCGTGATAAAGTTCATACTTGCTCGAAAAAGGTTATATGTTTTTGTTTTCCTTTCACTGGTCATCATGGTTTGCAAATTCGATCACAACTTCAGAAATTTCATTCTTCTGCCTATCCACACATTTCTTTACGTGTCGTCTTTCGTCCTTCTTTCCGTCTTTCCAATTTCTTTCCATTTAAGGACAAAATTCCGGCCGGTGAACTGAGATCACATGTGGTGTATTTGTATAAGTGTCAATGCTGTAGTGCATTGTATGTTGGTCAAACTCGCCGACACATACACACGCGTATCCCTGAACACATGGGTGTTTCACCTTTGACTGAAAAGAAACGTTCTGTTTCAACCATGTCAGGCATACTCGCTCATACCCATACCACTAAACATCAAATTTCACCCTCTGATTTTAAAATCCTTCCCACTGCTAGTTCTGAAGTAGATTTACTCATTCGCGAAAGCCTTTTCATATCCAAGCTTAATCCCACTTTAAATGCTAACATTAGGTCAACTCCTCTTGTCTTTTTCTAATGCTTTGCTAGGTCTCTAATTACTAACCATTATTTCTTTAATTTACTAATACTATTGCTTTTAATGACAGGTTGTTTTTCATCCTTCCTCTTATTCGCTTATTTGAATACTGTAAATTAGGCTTACTTTATTTTTATTTTTTACTCTCTTAATAATTCCTAAATTAGACATGTTACAATTAACGATCGTAAATAGAAAATATGTACAATAAAATTATAAAAAATATGTACAATATATAAGCTTTCATTTATTGCCCACAGGTTATTCACGTGAACGTAATTTGTAAGCCCGACTTAACGTTTAAAGACGTTGCAATTGTGTAAATTAATTAATAGCATTAATGTTAATTAAACGAAGTGTGGGAAACGTATAGTACAGTAATTACACGGGAACCATTGAGTATTTTAATAAAATATAAACAACGCGGTAACTCCGAAAATAAACATTTTAATATTCTTGCTTTCGAGTAAGATTCAGTCATCATCAGTGGTACAGCCTGTAAAATGTTTCGTTTATGCCGTGCGAAATACAAACCAATAGGCAATAGTAATACCGGCCGACAATATCGAAAGGTATTAATCGCCTGAAACCCATGCAATGCAAAGATTAGCATCTTGAAACTTAAGGAATGAGTCAAAACAAGACGAGAATGAGTTATTGTGATATTTCGAAATTTTATTCCAAAATTGTTGTTTTATTCCAAAATCGTCATCAGACTAACACGCTGGTATGTCATGATGTAATTGCTAAGGAATTTTAGGCAATATATTAATCTCGACAACAAAGGTGCATGTGGAGTGAAATTAAAGTGTGACGGCATGTGGGTGTATTGAGAACGGATTATGAAAAGAGCCACAAGTTGTTCCTTGCTAGTCTTGAGTCTAAGGTTAATGAAATAATTGCTGCCGCAGCGAGCGAGCCTGAAGCGAGCGAGCAAGGCAGCAGATCCTAATTTTGTTTTGTGGGTCGAAATCAAAATTTTCTATTTGGCGCATTGCATGACGGTACCACCGTACTAGTGAATTTTGACCGTGGTGCAGCGCGGTCACGCATAAAGCAAATAGGTAATGTGATCATCTTTCATCTTTGGTCTTCTTTTATGGAAAGCCATAGCTGGCTTAAAGGGGTATGACTAAAGGGAGAGTTACCAACCGGAGAGTTATCTTGGAGAGTTATGATTTCGGAGAGTTATGTTCAAAACACGCCCACTTTCCCCATGACCGCACCCAATTTCTTAACTCTCCCGACGTTTCCTTGAACTAACATGAGAGAGTTATGTTTGACGTAACTCTCTCTCGTTAACATTTAGATATACTCCCTAATTTTTTGTAAATTTTATGAGGGCCACAAGTTCATTAGTACTTCGTAGTATTAAGTGTCACCCTCTTTAAATAAAGTCTCTATCTATCTATCTATATTATGAAGATGTCAGAGAGTTATCATTTTTTTATAACTCTCCGCATTCACTATTATGACAATGAAAACAGTTAAGTCAGTTTTTTGAGAAAACTTTAGTAAACCTTGTTTCTTCAGATTTTCATCTTATATTTTGGTATTTCAGTTTGTAGCGTGTCAATAGCGTGCCCAAACAGGAAATACAACTTGACTCGGTCAAAACAATGAGATGCTTGCATCAGAAGGGTCAAAGACCCCATGCTTTGATGTGTTTTTGGCAGTAAATATGGTAAGCATAGTTGCAAGAAAATTAAGAAAATTGAATCTTTCAGCAATTCACTGGTTTAGTGGTTTTGGAAGTACTTTCCCAGATCCGCCAATAGCGGGGCATTACATTGGAAAGGTTTTCTGGTTCGATCTAATACGAGAGCTGTTCTGAATGCTGGGCTTGGTAGATAATCCAAGTGAGCATGTATATAAACATTTATATATAGATGAACTTGGTAAGTACTAAAGTACTATTAGTTTCTACTAGCGTGAAATGTTAAAGGCCTAAAGCTCGACACTTGAGAAAAAAGTAAATTTACAAAAATTTACTAATATGTGGACTTTTTTTTTTCAAAAAACTGACATAACTCTTTTCATTGCCACAATCATGAACGCGGAGAGTTATAAAAAATGATAACTCTCTAACATCTTCATAATGTTAACGAGAGAGAGTTATGTCAAACATAACTCTCTCATGTTAGTTCAAGGAAACATCGAGAGAGTTAAGAAATTGGGTGTGGTCGTTGGGAAAAGTGGGCGTGGTTTGGGCGTGGTTCGAACATAACTCTCCGAAATCATAACTCTCCGAGATAACTCTCCACTTCATAACTTTCCGTTTAGCGGCTCCCGGCTGGCTTAAAGTGATCAAACGGCATTTTGTTGGGTGCTTTTAGCATTATACGGCGGTGGTTTCGGCATTATATGTGGTGCTTTCGCCAATATACGCGGTGGTTCGAGCCGATTATACGCGGTGCTTTCGCCATCATGCTCATACCGGGTGCTTTTACCATTATACGCGGTGCTTTCACCATTTTTTTTTATCTGCGAAGCAGATATATTGCCATCGCAAACGTACTGTTAATGTGACCGTACCGTATGTTAACACACAGCCATTCAGCGACGAGCTTATATAATTTAAGGAATTTAAGCCAATCAGCGATCAGGTTACATCAATTGTTTACGTCGTGCCCGCTGATCTAACCTGCGAACGGGCATACTTTAGCCTCGTCAGGCCTCGTGTATAAATCG